ATATATATATATATATAAGTATAATGTATAAGTATACTCTCTCTTATATATGTATAATATATGTATAAGTATATATAAGTATACTCTCTCTTATATATGTATAATATATGTGTGTATATATAAGTTTATATGTGTGTGTGTTTTTATGTATAATACAATTTGTTTATGTAATTACTATAAGTATTTACAATTTGTTTATGTATAATATATGTATATGTGTGTCAGTGTGTGTGTGTATATATATACATATACATATATTGAATGACATGAATACTTTGGGCTACTTAGTATATAAGTATATATAAATATAAGTATATTCTCTCTTATATATGTTTATATCTCTTATATAATTATATATATGTATAAGTATGCTCTCTCTTATATATGTGTACAGTGTATACTCTCTCTTATATATATATTTATATTCTCTCTCTCTTAGTATATAAGTATACTTATATATACACATATATAAACATAAACTTATATGTACATATATAAGTATATTTATATAATAGTATAAATACATATAAGAGTATAAATATATATTTATATATCTATACATATATATAAACATAAACTTATATGTACATATAATATAATTATATTTATATAAGAGTATAAATATATATATACTATTATATAAATATAATTTTTATGTTTTATTGTTTTTTAAAATTTTTAAAAAAATAAAAAAATAAAAAAACAAAAAAAACCGGGCCGGCCCGGTGTCCGGCCCGGGCCCGGGCCCCTAGTTGGCATGTTGTAGTAATTGTGCAAAGTACATAAAATTCCTCCAACTTCCAAGGGAACCGAGTCCTTGTAGCCCTCTAGTGAAAACACAACCAATCCAGTCTCAAATCCTCACTCACGTGACATTGTTTTCATAAAGTCCGTGAATGTCATTCGCATCACATGAGACCAATAACACCAAGAGAATTCAGCGAGATGTCCCAGCTACCAAAAGACCAAGCGTTGCCAACTAATAAAACCAGCGATACACGTCAATTGAATCACGACCAAAAGAACACTAGCAAACATAACACTACGACACCACCCGTGATGCTTTCCAACTCACCCACCCGCACACCCAAACAAAACACATGCACCCGCTTTGGCGCCCGCGCATTCAAATTATTCAACTACAGAGCTCCCTCGCAAAGCCTACCCTGGAGTTGGCAACGTCGATGAGAACACGGTGGTTCTGCTGCTGGTAGTTGGCGATCACGTTTAACACGTTGTTCACGTTGTCAGGCACCGCCGCCATCGCGAGGCATGCCAACGGCATCGCGCTGCTGTGGATCAACGTGTTCTGAACGGGAAGCACCAGGTCGAGACCGGCCAAGTGCAGTGTGACGCTGGGCGTCACCGGTTGGCCTCCGTTGGTAGTGAAACACGTATCAAAAGCACCTGCAACAAAAAAATATCCATGAAAATTGCTTCATTACGACCCGTTAATGAACTTGGTTTTATCAAAAACGGAACGATTTTTGAATTCGTGCACCCGCACTCATCCTCCAATTTGGATGGTAGATCCTCCTCTTCCTCAGTAACAATTGTCCGCTATTATAATTTGGTGAACGGTTGTGATTAGTTTTTGGGGAACAGAGAACATGAGGGCTAATCTCAGGATACGATATCCGTTAAATTTCAAATGCAGAAAGAGAATTTTAATTAATTGTGATTGAGAAAGTAGAGCAGTGAAGCAAAATTCTAATTCTCAAATTCCCCTATTTTTTCAGATATATTTATCAAGTGCGTCCAACGGATAAGACAAGTAAATTTGTTACGAATACCTGACTACTTGCCTTTAAGTTTGTTAAGTCGAATCATTTGTCATAACTTTAGTCAACAATATATAAATAGAAAAACTCACCTAGAGAGGAGTAACTAGGGGCATCGACCTGCCTCCTGAACTCATCACGGATTGCCATATAAGCAGGGCTCACAAATCTGGTGATGACAGTACCAGAGTCAACGATAGTACCGGCACCAGTCTGAGGATTGAAGTCAAAGGAACCAGGAGGCACGGCGACGTTGACTTTGCCAACGCTAACGCCGACGAGGTTAACAAAGTAAAGAGAAGGCCGGTGAGGATTCAAGAGGAGCGGAGTGCTTTTAATCTTCGTGGGTTGGCCAATTGGTCCAAGCCGGAGTGAACCAGAGAAGTAGTAGGACCTGAAGCTTGGTAGACAGTAGGAGAATACACCCTGAAATCATCCCAAATTCCATGCATCATAAGATCCTAGATAAACTACATAATGGATGCATCAAGAGAAGAATAATTCTCAGATTGATATGCGCCTTGATCACCAAATCCTCTTGTTTATCGGAGAATAATTTAGCTCTTTTGAGTATACCAACTACGGACACAGATTACTAGAAAAACTTTTGCCATAGATAATGAGCAATCATTGTTAGACTTGTTGTAGGCTACATGTGAGGAGAAATTTTCAAAATAGACTCATCTACAATTTTATTCCTCAAAATCTAACTCATTTCAAATTTACTTGAAAAAATCCACCCAGTTTCGGCCACGTCAGCGGCGCTGGTTGAAACTGTCGATTTTAGAAAAACGCTTCTTTTTAATTAGTCGGGGTTGTCAACCCCCGACTAATTAGAAACTAGTTTAATTACACAGGTTAGTAGTAGGGGTTAAAACTACAATTCAATATGGTCACGGTTGCCAGTCCCAACTATTTAGAAGGTTAATTAACCCTGTTACTAATTAGTCAGGGTTGGCAACCCGGACCAAATAGAATGAAATCTTTTGACTTAGTTAAAAGTGGGTCGATTTTTGTGAATGAAGTTATAAATGAGTCTGTTTTGAAAATTTCTCCAAGCGCTACCAGCAAAACAAAAGAGCAAGTTGATTCGTACCTCATACAGGGAACCACTCTGAGCCAGCAACCCGCTAGGCCCACGTCCAAGCCCAAGAGACCCTTGCTTAGGGAACGAG